CCCCGTGACCCGACCCCGGATAGGCGGAAGAAAATGGATGGATGGATGGATGGATGGATGGATGGATGGATGGATGGATGGAAATTTAAACTGGAGTTCCCCTCAAGTGGGAAATCCCTGTCAGAAAGTGAGAGATCATTTTTAAAGACGGCAACTACTCACCACAACTAAATGGTGAGTAAAATTTTACTTTTAATAGTATTTTTGTATTATTTATTTCACATTTAGTCAGTCGTGCATGTAGTACTTTTCAGTGTTTTTGAGAGGACGTGTTGAAACGCTGTTTCTATGCAGGAAATACAAGGTAGAGCTCAGTTGTTGTTCGGTAGCAATGCTCAGGAATGTGACATTTCGTATTTAATCAAAGTAAAATACAAAACATTAATTACAACCATAAATCTCATATGGCCTTCAGTGAGAATGAGTTTTGACACCCCCGCAGTATTCTGAACAAAAAATTTGAAGGTTTAAGATCAACCGGCACCACTCACCGCGGGCCATATCATGCCTGCGTACGAGTCCAGACCCTCGTTGATGGTGATCTTCTCACCCACGTAGCTGTAAACCTCTTTTCCTGCTCTGGAGTAAAAACAAGGAGACCACAGTGATGGTTTGTGTTGTTTCTCAGCAGCCGGTTCCTCTGGAAATCACAAAAATTAACCCATTTTTAAAAAACTGAAACTCAAATTAAAACATTGAACCAGGGTAGTTTAAGTTACCCTTTTCTGTCTTTTTGTTTTCTTCAACACCATCTTCCTCCTCCTCCTCTTCATCTTCCTCTTCACCTCTCATGCATWTCATTTCTTCCATTTGAAATTATTTATTCTTATGTGAATAAAAAAACACAAAGCAACAGAAAATATTGTCAAAATCAAGTAGAAAGTAGCGAATTACATTTAACTTGTGTACTTTTTAAAGTATCTCTTATGCTCTACTCTTGAGTATTTTTATTTAAAGTATTTTTACTTAGTTACATTCGAAGTCTCATCTAGTACAGAGTAAAAAAATGTAAACATAAATATGTGAAGCTCAAAAATGGCCTCCATGCATCATACTTAAAAACACTTGTGCTGTAAAAAAAAAAGGTAACTTCTACTTAAAGCTCATTTTTAATGTTTTACTTTTACCTGTGTAGTACTTCAGTATGTTATTTTAATACTATTTTTTACCAGTGGTCAATTTCGGCACAGATTTTAAAAGGAAAACTTTTTGCAGCTCTTACCTGTGGTTTTTTTTTATTCTGGTACCAGATCTCCAGAGCAGCTCGGGGTGCGTCTGGATCCCCACGACTCTCTGAGGTTAAAGACCCCTCAGCATCCAGCAGGACACTCCCAACATCAGTACAAGGGCATRGGGGTATTTTTAGAGCTGCGCTCATTTGAGATAAACACAAGAGCAGAGGGAGCCCAACGTTTCAAACCACAGAGACACAAAAAATGGCTCGAACGGGGAGCCAATGGGAATGAAGGGAATGTGGTTTTAACTTCAGGGTCTTTCTGCTGGTGGTCCACAGCAGCTGCTGGACGGAACCATTTAATGCAAGTTCATAATATTTTTAACTGTATTTTTGACTAAAAATGTGGAAAAACCTGCAACAACCTGAGCAATTTGCACCTAAATCAGCCCAAATGTTTCATGTCAATCTGATGTTGCATCATTTTTAAAATGAGGTTGATTATAAATACCCACGGGGTCAAATGATTGAGGGGCTAAACTTGAACCAAAACCAGAGCCTGATTTGTGTTTACTTTGACGGCATCTTGGCAGGGAGAGGTGGAGTGTGTGTCACATTTAAATCATATTCAAAACACTAATATTATTAGATCCTTTTGATGAAGATCCCCGGCAGCAGGCTGGTAAAAACAGCTTTAGTAAGCAATTTAAAAAGTTACTGTTTTTTTTTGAGTAAATCTTTAAATCAATCAAATGTTTTTAATTTGATGGCAGCCTTGAAATTATTTTCCTCTTTCTGCATTCTTCTGTGAAAACTGCAAACCTTACTGTAGAAGAATAAACTGAATTATTACTAAAATAAACTAAAATCACTTAAAGGTGCTTGGTGTAAAATATGAAATAAGCAGTGGTGGCCACAGTACAACTAATTCACTAATAGAAGAACTTGCTTATCATTTAGCGAATTAGCACTTTTGATGCTAGCTTTGGAAACTGTTACCAGACCGATTAGCTTCTGCTAAATTAAGGTCTTGTTTTAAATCCACCAAAAAAAAAAAAAATTACAAGTAAAACTAAAACATGTCATTCATCCTGAATTAAATTTAAAAAAATCCACTCTTAAAAGCAGTCCTGGCTGGGCGTGTCAAGCACCTGTAGCATGTAGCATCGTTAGCATTTACACTTCAAAATAAAAGCATCAAAAAGAAATAACACTTAAAAGTATTTAAACAAGCACAAAAATTGTCTACAAATAAAATATGATAGAGAAAAAATTGTTATTTGTTGTCTGAGTAACTTCAAATGGCAATTTTAAAAATAAAAACTCGATAAAAGAAATGTTTTTATTCTGAAGGYGTTGAACTTTTATAATTTGTTTAGCAGTTTAGTGGTGAGTGAAGCTAAAGTTTTGGTTAGCTGTGCTACCACTGGAAATAGGTGTAAAAAAGATTATCCTGAACTGTGTTAAACAGTGCAGTTTGAAAGCGTTTAGACTTATATGCAGCTTTGAAATGCAGGTATGCACTCAATGTAAACAAGGAATTCGACCGACTCAAGTTTAACTTACAATAGGCTGGTCGTAAACAAATATGATGGAATTAGACAGGTGGACAAGAATAAAGGATGACCGGTGTCATAATCTTTGTTCAGAGTAAATATATTTTTAACTTAAGGACGTGTTTACCTTCAATATGAGACAACATTGTGACTTTAATTTGTGCTTAAAATACCTGTCTGAGGTAAATTATTTCCCTGGCTCTGACTCCTTGAGCACACGTAACTTTGGAGGTRTCATCACAAAAAAATAAATAAAATTTAAAAAAAAAATTAAAATTAGACATGGGGGTTTGGAAAGTTTCCACATTGTGTTTACTCGCTCACCTCTTTTCCTTTTCCTGCAACGGCCTCAATCGCTCCAGCAGAGTTTGAAGGTAACAGGATCAGGCTGCACGTATCAGAGCCCCCCGAGAAACGACTGGGGGTGGGCTCTGATAACATCCAGTCCATTTAAACATGAAATATCACCTCCTGGTTTGAGGTTTCGTCATTTAAACTGATTTAGTTTAGAAATTTTTACAAAGGAAAAAGGTTTGGTTGGCTGGGTGCTTTGTTTCGCTGTAGAGTTTGTAGATTTTCAGCTCGGTGACAGTTCGGGTGAGCTGGTTTACCTACAAGGCCGCACACATTCTTSAGCTGTTGAGTATTTATTTGTCCTGACAATGGTAGTGATATTCGCAGCCGCCAGCTTAGATAACCTCTTTTAGCTCTAATCCAGCTCGTCAACACTCCCGTCGTCGCTCTGCAGCCAAATATCACGTATCCTGCTCCTGGCAGGTCAGGAAGACGAGGAATCCCGGGACAGAAAACAAACCCGTGGGGGAGATTTGGAATCGTTAATGTATCAGATTTATCATTCTGAGCGAGTGACTCTAACTTACCATGTGATAATTAAGCTAACAGGTGTTCGAGTTACTGAAGCAGCACATTTACTCCCCAGTATGGATGAGATTCCTAATTTGATGAACTAAAAGTGTTTTGATGATGACATGATACCAGAAAAGATGTTATTACTTTACTGAAGTGGTTAGATCTGCTAAAACACATGTCAAACTCAAGGCCTGTGGGCCAAATGTGGCCCGCCACAACATTTTATATGGTCCACGAGAGCTTCAAAGGTGTATTAATGTCTTAGAATAAGAATATGTTGCTTTAAATTGACTATAAACTAAACCTCCATAGTTGATTATTTTTCCCGCGAAATCACAGCATCCCCCTTCTAGGTCGGAGGTGCAAAGGGTTCAAGGCAGTCTTACTTTTGCTATTTGTAAGTGAGAATTTTGACACTTAACAAGTCGTAAATTTAAGTTGCAATGAATTCCCTGTCAAAAGTGGGAGAGTTCAGAATACAAGATAAACGGTTGTCTTAGCAGTTAGCAATTAGCTCTTAATATCACGTTCTGCTACATTGCGTTTTGCTAACTTTAAAGTGCCTGTGACATGCATATACTTCAAATACAAAAAGTCAAAGAAAACATCTTTATACTTAAGAAAATTGCCCTAATACACATGATTTTGCCCATTTTCTCACATAACTGGCCTATTTTCATTTGAATTTCTCAGCCAAAGTAAGACAGGAAGTGACATCAAAGGGGAACTCATTAATTAAAAAATCTTTAGTCTTTGTTTATTAAAACAATATCATTCAAACTTTAACTCTTCTTCATTTCTCTTTGATAGAGACTCAAAATAATGTAGAGACATCAGACTCTTCTCTGCAGTCTGTTTTGTTAGCCGTTGCAGCAATGATCTGTTTACATGCAGACATTCCCCTTTGACGTCACTTCCTGTTACTTCACATGTAACTATCTCAACAACTGTTCATCTCAGCAGCGTGAAATTTGTTTTACAATATGTTATCAATGTTATCTTTCCAAAAAATGCATTCATGTTTATCTCAAAAATCTGATGTCACAGGCACTTTAAGGTTGCTAACAGCTAACTAACATTAACAGGTTTATGTAAGTCCCACCGGTCTTCAGGTTTGAACGCAGGAAATGCAGACACACACCAAGGAGCTCAAGTAGAATAACATAAAAACTTTAATTACACAAAACGCCGGAGTGGCAGCAAAGTAATCACAATCGAAATAATCACTGAAAACGAGGTGTATGAACACATCATGGCGAAAAGGTGAGAGACAGACAGAGGTGATAAATAGACTAAGGCTGATGAGGAGAACAGGGCATAAAGAGCACAATGAGATAGAGAACAGGTGTGAGTGGGCGGGGCAAGCTGAACTAACTGAGGCARAAAACACAGGAAAAAAACATAAAAGGAGTAAACAGAAAAATCATATCAAACATAAGGCAAAAAAAACAAACTTGTGAGGATCTGTTGTCCTAATTCAGCTAGATTAAATCATGGTTCCCAAAGCTGGAGTCGGACCACACTGAGGGTCGTTAAACACTAAGGGGTCTTGAGAAGTCCAGAAATTTAAAAATAGATAGATATCTTTATTTAACTTAAAAAAAAACTCGAGATATACATTCTCTTTTTCAAGAGGCACCTGGCAAGACAGCAGCACCATTTTAAATATCAACATTTACATTAAATCACAACAAAAGATTTTGGACAAACAATCATAAATGAATAAAAACATTGCAGTTGTTGTTGACACAGACTTTTATGACAAAACATTAGGGCCAGACTAAGAGAATAAAATATGAAGTCATATTATGAGAAAAAGTAATAATAATATGAGATAAATACTTCACTGTTTATTTTATTCTGGTAATATTATGACTATTTTTTAACCAAATTTTTACTCATACTTCTTTCTTGTAATATGACTTTATTCTTGCAATTTGACAAAAATACCTTAGTCAGGCCCTAATTCTCTGTCATATTGTAGTTTAATTGACATGGCAGTTGTGTACATGCTAATCAGCTTATAGAGAAAAAAGTTTTGTGTTTAGCGGATAAGCTTTTTGATTCACTTTGAAAACTGTTAGCATACCAATTAGCTTCCGCTAAATTTGATTTTGCAAGCTTTAAGTTGGCTAACTGCTAACTAATAAGCTAACATGAGACAAAGACGTGTTGCTGACTGAGTGACAATTATCCTAGTGTTTATAGCTATTAATGTTAGCTTCTGCTAATTTTTTACTTGTTTAGCAAAGCTATCTTTTTAGTTGGCAGAATATGAGCCAGTGAAGCTAATTCGCTGTGCCCACCACTGCTTATGCTTGTTGGATTTTAATTAGTAAAAAGTCTCAGCTGTTGCTTCTGATCGCATTCTTGAAGCGACCGTTCCCATAATTTGTGGCACTTTTTTCTGTATCTGGTGCTGTGGACTCACTTCCACTCACTGGGTGTCAACACAAGTGGTTAAAATGTTGTGGGTTTTTATTTAGTCGTAAATTATGCAGTTTTGTTAGCTTTTTCTTGCTCGCTGATTTTTGTTTGTTGTTTAATATCACAGTGAAGAGTTTTGAACATTAAGACACTGCTCAGCTGTGATATACTCAGCCTGATTGTGTAAACAATAAGTGGTAATTACCATCACATCAACACTTAATAAGTATTCAGAGTTTTGTTGTTAGGAGGTTCATGTGGTGGCCRCGGTCTTCTGGTCCCTCCTCCAGCCTCTGTACAGTTTAATACTCAGACTGGGCAGGTCGTACAGCTCCTCCAGGTGGAAACGCTCCTGGAAGCGGTCCACGAAGCTGTTCTCTGGGTCCAGGCGAAAACGCATGGCCCAAAGTATCTGAGTGTGGTCCTGGCACAGGTGGTCGAAGGTATCCATCAGCTCATTCAGGTAAGGGTGGGCGTAGACGACGTCAGCTGCCAGGATGTAGTCAAAACAATGTGTGGTGCGAGGGAAACGCCGAGTCACCTCCTGACCCCAGATCAGCTCGGTGACCTGCAGGCAAACATCAGTGAGGCTGATTTATAAAACAAAATATACTAAAAGGAACATTCATGTAAAGAATTAATATCCTGTCAGCTGAGTGGTGCTCCAGTTAATGAGCAAATAAACCAGGATATCATCAGCAAAGCAGTGAATAGTGATGTTTTGTTTCTTGAAAACTGATCCAACAAGAAAAYCTTTTAYGTTTTCATGTTAATCCTTCTTGTARMTTTAATAAATATCATCATGATTGTGTAAGAAACTAACAAAAAAAGTACCAGGGGGATGTATTTGCATCGGTTTTTGGTGTTGCGCGTTACGTTGTACTGGAGATTCCCCAACACATCCGGTAGATCTGTAGATGTTACTTTAGCACCTAGAGAGACAGAAAAGTTGAGCAATTCAAAACAAAACGAAACAAAGAAATGGATAATTATTATTATTATGATTTTTGAGTACCTAAAATGCTGGATACAATGGTGACGAGCCCAGTTCCAGCTCCCAGCTCGATGACGTTTTTCTCCGCCAGGTTGAATTTGTCTCGGTTGGTTTCCAAGAAGTGACACAGAACCATTGCCTGTTGGGGGGGGGACACAAAGTTCACGTTTCGGACGTAAAATAAAAAACATGGGGCGCCAAGTGGAGCTGAGCAAAAAAAGAAAGGGGTACAAACCGAGGGCCAGAGTACCGCACCGTACAAATCCGTGGATTCTTTGATTCGGATCTCCAGATCAGAGAAGACGTATCCCTCCCACGTCTCTGGGCCAATCACTGCGGGGTGGAAACGCCGGGACATGATGGCTTTGGCCAGCTCGGCATCCGCAGCGCCACCCGTTGTGACATCTACAATAAAAGTCATTTTGTAAAAAATAAAAACAACAACCAAAAAAGGACCGTGGATGAGCTAATGCTAACAGCACGCATCTATCCATTGTTACTGTCTTGTCTACTCYCGCAGAAAAACTATTGCCTGCAGCCGTCCGTACCGCGCACACAACACAATGCCCAACTGAGGGATTAGAAGGACAGGGGCTGAGAAATGGAGCGGAAACATCTGGAACCATGACACCTAGGCATAGGTAAGAGTGGGCTGGGCAAGAGCTGACTGAGGAAGAAGTGGCCAAAGGGAACAAACCAAATAGCAGGAGAGAACACTACAAAAAACTTCAAACAACGTTACAAAAAACAATAATCTTGACACTTTTAGGATTGATTCTCTGCCTTGAGATTGAGGTTTATAATCTCCTGTTGAGCACCATTGTTAGCAGCTTCACTCCTGTCAGCGCTGACAGCTACTAAAATCCCACAGCTTTGGTTACGTGATGCTGGTTTTAGTTAAAGGTCAGGAAAGCCCAATGAGAAGGTTGACGAAGGGTTGGACTGCAGTTTAACTCATAACTTTTCTGTCTGTTTGTCTTTGTTATTAATTGTTTCAGGTTTTTATTCACATATGATGACTTTAACTATTTCCCTTTTATGCATTGTTGCTTAAACTATCCAGACGTCTAAATTCTTACCTTCTTGTTTGGTCTTTGAGTCCTTAGATTGTTGAMTCTCCATGTCTGAATGAGTTCAGGAAGCTAACGTGTGACTGCGTGGTCCAGGGTGAAGACGGGGTGAAGACCTTTAGATCTGGGTCAGTGTGGGTCCTGATCTGTAGCAGTGACCCTGTGTGGCCTTAAGTTACACACAAACACTTTGTTTCCCAGCTCCTTGTCCAACAATCCCACACTGAGCCTCAGATCCTGGACATATTTCCAGGTTTGGTGCCTGAACTGAACCCCCACCCTCACAGCAGTAAACCTGACCGACACCAACAGCTGCTCGGCCTGACTGGTGGCTAAACTTCAGCTGGAGAGGAAACAGAGGGGAAGTGGGATTAAATTACTACAGACAATAATAAAGAAAGAAACAGACTAAAATACAGAGCTGTTTTACTTATTTTTTTTCTAAATGTCTTTTGTAATCCAAGTATTTCTGCATATTTTGTGCCTTTTTTAACTGTTCAAATATCAAAAATGTTGAGTTTGTTCATGAGCTGAATGTTATGACATTTGGTTTTAGTAAATTTTATGATTTTCATAATATTTAACTTTATATACAAATATATTAACCATTGAAACAGATCTCTTTATTTCTTAAAAACATTTTATTTGAAATTTGCCTCAGCGTATTTGTGTAGCTTTTTCAAATTTTAGCCAATCTTGTTTTAACTTTTACATTTAGTAGTATGCTTTCGGCACCAGTTGCTCTAATTTTGTTTTCTTTAGTTTTCAGCATCAGATTTGACCTACTTTTTTTTAAAACAATTTTTAGATAGCCTTTTTATATGGTTTTAGTTAATCCGAGCTAATCTTAACCTATCATTTATGCTGCTTTTAGCTGGCCTTTTATTACTTTTAGCCAAAGTTTTGCAGCTTTTAGCTAGACTTTTGCTGGTTTTAGTTCATCTTTGACTGATTTAGCCATTTGCTACTTTTAGCTAATATTTGCAGCCTTTTAGCTAGCCATTTGCTACCCTTAAACTTTTGCAGCTTAGAGCTAGATTTTGCCACTTTTAATTAATCTTTGACTGGTTAGGCTAGATGATTGCTACATTGAGTWAAATTTGTAGTTTTTAACAAGCCTTTTAGCTTGACGTTAACTTGTTTAACTAAAATTTGCACAATTTAGCTGTTTTTGCTGCCATTAGGAACATGATTTTAGCACCCTTGATCCTATTTTCCTGTGCTTCTTAATTGTTTTGAACACCAAATAATTAGCCAGCATTTAGCTAGTGTTCATTATCTTTTAGCTTTACAAACTCAGTTTCAGCTTCCTCAGCAGTTGTTTTTACTCAGCACTATTTTATTTTGGCAGAAAATGCAATTACTTCAGTACCATTAAGGAATCATTTTTATTATTTTTACAAATATTTTGATTTAAAATAATTTTAAATAAAAATCTTGTTTCTGGTCGAAGGCTGATTAAGTGTCCAACATGATTTAATGACAGGTTACACAAGCTTTAAAAAGCTTTGATAAACATTTTACTGCAGAATAATATCATTTATGTTACAAAGAAACATCCAAACATAAAAAAGTTTATTTTGTGGTATCAGTGTTTACAAAACTTCATGATCTATATTTTATAAAAAGCTGAGTTGATGAATTATTTCCGTAAATATCAAAACATCACAGATATTTAAGAAAAAGTTTCACATTTGATAATAAATTCACATCTTTTATCTTTAATGCTTCTTTCCTTTTCCTCTCGGTCGTTTTCCTCCACGACCTCGTTTGCTGCCCTCGAAAACGGATCGGGCCGTAACCATGGCAGCTTTCTTATCATCATCATCATCACTGGAGCTGCTGCTGCTGCTCCTGGTCTTCTCAGGCCGAGTCTTGATGGACCGACCGCCAGAATCCGGACCAGAACCGCAGATGTCCTTCAGTGGCAGAAGAGGAGGTTCATCTGTGAGCTCAGAACCTAGAAACCCCCCGCCTGCCGCGGATCTGACATCTTCTTTCTGCCTCTCTGTGGTCTTCACGCTTGTTTTCTTAGACTTGATTTCCTCCTCGCTGCCTTCGTCCTCTCCTCCTCCTCCTCCTCTCTCCTTCCTCTTTAAGCAGGTGACGGCTCGGCGGAGTCGCTGGCTGCGAATCGATTGCTTCTCCTGCTGCTCCAGGCGGAAGAAGGAGTCTATTCTCAGCTGAGTCTGAAAGAAAATAAAAGTTTTTCTCTGGTTACGAGGATTTGAAATGTTCCTAATCAAACTGGTCGAGTCTCTTCTTCACCTGCTGGCTGTTCAGCTGTTTGATCACAGGTTGAAGGATCTCCTCCGTCTTTCGGCTGCTCCAACCGAATCGACTCAGGCAGAACGTGAGGAAAAGGTTAAAGAAAACTTCCGAACCTGTGGACAAACACAAACTTCCTCACAGACAGGAAGAGGATATTCTTTCATCATGTCCAGTTGGGGGAGTCCCCAGCTGAACGAGGCGTCTGACTGATCCACAACAGGTTCCAGGTACGCCTGGGCCACGGCCGGGTTCGGGAAGCCAGGTTGGACCTTCAGATCCCGGAGTTTCTTCTTCACCTTGGTGTCTCGGGGATCAGCCACCAGCCGTTTGTTCTCCTGAGCCTCTGACCACCACTGACTGCAGGAAACCAACGAGACGGACTTTAATGAGCTTTTATAAACAAAAACAACAAACTAAAGGATGCTAAAAGCTTTCAGCAGAATTTGTCTTATTTCAGTTAAATAAAAAATATTCAGCTCATCCAGGAGATGGATGATACAGTAGGACTCTATTTGTGCCTTTTTATGATACTTGTAGCTTTTAACTAGCATTTTGCTACATTTATTTTCTAACTAGCCTTTCGCAAATTGTTATTTTTCACCTAGCTTTTGCTGTCTTTGGCTACTTTAGGCTAACATTTTGCTACTTTTTTGCTTTTAGCTGTCAAATAGCAATTTTCGACTTGTACCATTTAGCTAGCGTTTTGCTACTATTAAATATAAAATAGCATGTTTTCTACTTGTACCATTTTCATAGCATGTTGCTAACCTTTTACTGCTTTTAGCTAGCGTTTAGCTACTTTTAGGTATTAAATAGCCTTTTTTTACTTGTGCCATGTAGTTAGTCTTTTGCTACTATGTGCTGCTTTTAGCTAGCATTTTGCTACTTTTACCTTCTAACTAGCCTTTTTCAACTTGTACCTTTTTAGCTAGCATTGTTCAACTTTTAGCTATTTAGTTATTAGCTAACATATTTTTCTACTTGTACTATTTAGCGAGGATTTTTGATAAAATTTGCTGCTTTTAGCTAGCATTCAGCTACTTTTACATTCACATTTAAAGGTAGCCATTTCCTAATTGTAGCTTTTAGCTTCACTTTTGCTACTTTTTACTGGTTTTAGCTAACATTTTGCTGCTTTTAGTTTTACTATTTTCTACTTGTATTAGCTAGCATTTTGCTATTTTGGCTTATAATTAGTCTTTTCTTAGTTTTAGCTAATCTTTTGCTACTTTTTGCAGCCTTTAGCTAACACTTTGCTGCATTTAACTATTAAATGGCCATTTCCTACTTGTACGATTTAGCTTCTGCTACTTTTAGGTATATTTTGCTACATTTAGCTAGCATTTTTCTTTTATCTGTAACATTTTGCTACTTTAACTAGTGTTTTGATACTTTTAACTTTTAGCTAAAATTCTACTTTTGGCTTTTTAGCTATCATTTGTCTTCCTCATTAATGTAGTGTTCTCGTCTTTTAACTAGTATTTTACTTTTTATCTTTATATTAGTTTTCTGCTCTTATAGATCTATAGATTTTACAGAAAATAATTTTTTTCCAGCTCATTTCCTGTGAAACACTGTTAACCCTGAAGACAGAGTTTGAGGCTCTTTACTGACCCCTCAGAAGATAAAACCACACCTGAACTGTATTAGTGGCTCCAAAGCTGGACCTGGAAACTCGTTCAGGATCTCCATGCCCGTCACATATCCGACTCCCGGTACACCTTCAGTGTAATCGCTGCCGAGCAGGTAGGCCAGATTTATTAATTTAGTTCTGTCCAGACCTGACAGAGACAATAACAATACAGAGGGTTGACAGAGTGCATAAAATAAAGAAAAACAGCTTTTATTTTGAAGGTTGAAGGCAGTTGTGTGTGTTTTTTTTTAGCTGCTCGCTGACCCAGCTGGCTCTGCAGGTCACTGAACTGGTAGTGCTCCACGTATTTGTTCTGGCTGAAGAAGTTCTTGAACACGTGTCTTCCTCCGAACAGCCACACGTCCGAGTCGTCCGTGATGGTCCCGTGCGTCTGGTCGGCGCGGTCCAGCGCCGCGCACTGAGCTTCGGCCTCCATTGGCGCCACCAGGAACGGCACGCCGAACAGCCGCAGCAGCTCCTGGTTTCAACACAGTCGTTACTCTCAAAACAAAWAAATAAATAAATAAATAAAACGGACATGGTGTCAAACAAATAAAAACAGAATGAGATGCATATCCTATTCAACATATATTCACTTGAATACACTATAAAGACACAATCAGACTTCTTCAGTGTAAATATAATATTATTTCACGTGTCAAACTTAAGGTCCGCAGGCCAGATGTGGCCCACCATTGGATTTTATGTGGCCCACGAGAGCTTTAAAGGGATCCATGATTAGTTGTAACATTAGACTTTATTTGATAAACATATATTTTAACTGTAAAATAAAAACTGTAAAAATACTAGGCTGTTTAGTTTTTATAATTTTTAAACTAAAAGTTTAAAATATATTACATGGACAGGGCCATTTTATATGCACA